TGTCTTTATATGAATCTTATCAAATGGGATTTTCTATATATTTTTCAATGGGATTTACACTAGTACATAATGAGAGGGTAACTTACTCCCAAAACTCTTTGACGGGGTCAGTGAGGTCCTTGACAGAGATGTTGTACTGGTTGATGGAGCACACTTTGTTGTACGCCGTGCTGTTGTACGACTGCTCCCAGCATGTGAGGTTACCTCTCTCATATGCGTTCACGCAGTTACGGGTATTCCAGTAATTGTTGCATGTCCTCCATGGCACGTCTGCAAGCAAGCCGCGCAAAGTCATACACTAGATCAGGTATTGAAGATTTTCAAGGTGCCAACATAGTAAATGTAAGTAACAGGAGAGAGTTAGTATTACTGAAATAGAGGCTGATGTGAGTTACTTGTGTTAGTAACAAGGTATTGTGGTGAACCTCAGGATTTCATAGGAAAGGGTAGTCTTTTAAGAACTTAGCAGCTGAAGGGAGGGCTCTTCATGTTTACCTGATCTCATTGACATGAAGAAGTAGAAGATGGCCCATGCGAGGATCACGATGTAGTACACGTTCATCCAGCAAGACATGACTGCCGCTGCATAACCGATACCTGCGCAAACAGTTCAGCCACTGACAGGAATTCACCAAGATGATATTAGTATTTTCTGTGTTAGCTAGGAGGAACATAGCCACTAATTCTGGAAACGGAATATACCTTTGAAGATGGGTGCAATTTGGAAGACGCCAAGACCTCCGATGGTGAGCATCTGACCCAAGGCGAGTTCCATGAAGAACATGGGGATACCGGCTAAAATGAGGGTAAGGAAGTAGGGGATCAGGAAGGCGCCTCCACCATTCTTGTAGCAAAGGTACGGGAAACGCCATACATTGCCCAGACCGATGGCCAAACCCACGACCGACAGGATGAAGTCTAGCTTGCCACTCCATGTCCCTCGCTCCGGGAGATCTTCCGCCTTGCTCTTGGTCCCTGACACCACCGCACCTGTGCTGCTGCTGCTACACTGGTTCATCTCCAAGGAGAATAGATGCTTCTCGTTGGCGAGCGGACTCTCCCGGGTCTCCGTCATCCTGTGGGCCTCTGGCTCATCCCAGCGCCCTGGCCACCTGTGCATTAGATGTACGTCACTATGTTGGCTGGGTGTTCAGTGACTTTAAAGATCAGACAGGTTTTACCTGGAACTGCAGCTGTGGACCTGAGAGGGAGGAAGTGATAGGATGCTGTAGAAAACAGCACAATGACGCTGACAGATCTGGGTGCGATTGCACTTACCGCTGGCTGTAACCCCGATGGGCTGTTCACGCGCCGCTCTGCTCCTTGTCTGGAACCATTCGGTGGCCATCCCAGAAAAGAGTTGAGAAAGATTGTGTTATATTAGAGTATTTGTATTTACGTACACCATTAACATCGTCATTAGCAGATCAGATAAAGCTAGCATAGGTCCTTTGTACACATATAAGAAAACAGAAAATGTAATCGATTTCCTGTTAGGTTTTCATTACAGTCTCTTAAATGATCTTTCTAAACTTGCTTTTTCCTGTGCTTGTGTATTATAATTTATTTTGGTATTTAGTTGTTTTATATTATTATTAGGGAATAGTAGCCTAACCTGATAGCTGGTTAAAATGATGCACCTGTTATTGACAACTGTTTTTCAAGAATTATTTTAAATCTCGCGGCGTTAGATTGGTTATGTTGGTAACCATATCGAGTGTAAGATGGCGTGGTGAAGGAGCGCGGGCTTTAAGATTTGTGTGCAAAAGTATGTGTTCTGGCGTTTGTCTTAACGGGTTTACAGTCTCAATGAATCAGAATTGGTAGCTTAAGATTTGTGAACAGTTTTTTGAAACATATCCAGTGAAGACTTTGGAGGTAAGTTATAATTAGTATTAATTACTTTCATACTTTGTTGTGCATTTATGTTGTGGTTAGGAAAACAAGGGCAGCCAACTTGGGTTAAATGGAAACCAGGTTTGTGTGTGATCTCTGTGCACAGAGTATTTGTGTTTCTCAGTCGATATGTGTCATGTTCGATTTAGGGTTTAACGTTTAACCTCTTTATTACGCAGTTTGCGTGAAAAAGCAAAGCTGTCGTTATTAAACACGTAAAATCATTACTCGTGCCTCTGGAGCATCGCAGTTTTTACAAATTAAGAAGTGTCACCAACTCCTCGCGTCGTTTGTTGTTGTAACGTGTGCATTAGCTGTTAAGGTTACGTGTCGGACGTTGTAATTAAAGTTGAAGTTATCGCACGACGATTCATCAACTGGTTCCGCTTTTTATCGGCCCGTTGACGAAGTTTGTCGTCAATTCAACACTGAAGAACGTGAGTTTAGTTTTCCAGTCCAAACAAAGCTAAACGTTAACGTATTTAACAATCAAGGCACGTTCTCCTTGGATGAAATTGGCTTACAATACGAGACATTTACTTTTATCGTAACAAAGATTATACAGTTTGTTTTCCGGAAGTGACGCCATACGTCGAATTTTGGTGTTTAAATTTGCATGGGTCAATCAGTGAGGAATTACGTGTCAGTTTTTGATTCCATGTTTTAAGTTGTAATGCTAATGTATAATTCACCCTGCAATTCCCGTTATTACATTTCTATATAATATATTGTACAAAATGTGGATTGCACTGCAAACTGTCATTCTTCGTCTTCTCAGTTTCTAGAATATTTTAATTATATAATAATAAGGAAACAACAAGCTGTCGACGTTTCAGTAGCAGCAACCATGACATTTGTCACGCTATGGTCGTTCGTGATATAAATAAAAAGGCTGTCACTTAAATAACCTAAAAAAATATCACATAACAGCATAATTTACACTTGAATATGCAAACAGACTATAAAAAAACATATTTAGCCTAAAGACGCGAGGTTTTAAGCTACATAAGATGGCAGCACTAGTTGTAACAACATTTGTGGTGTGAAAAAGTGAAAGTCTTTGATTTCCATCAGACCTCACGATAGTACACAACAGACAGCTGCAACGTAAGTAGTGAACCATTGCTGTAATCATAACGTAAGGAGTATTATTAAAATTTAAAGCAATTTCCAGTGAATAGTTTCCATTTCATGTATTTTATACGATATCTTGTTAATATATTTACAGGATTAATATTACACTGTATATTATATTTTATTGGTCGCAATGAAAGTATTCCCATTCAGTCCGTAGGACATCAATTATTTCATGAAGAAAATTATTCGAAATTTATTACAGCATTGGGGAAATACAGACTAATTCAGTTCCTGTTGTAATTATGTATGTATTTATGCTTCTAATTGACTTTAATGCTTGTGAATGAGTGCTTTGTTAAGTGGGACCACGTATTATTATGTACTCATTTTATTTCTACAGGTATCCTCATAATCTAATAGTCAAAAAAGACTGCATTTACATTAGACAGTCGCCTGTTGAATTTTTATTCAGTGAGTTAAATACGAGAGGCTCGAGATAGCTAAGAATTTTTTATAGCGCAAATTTAAATCTTTGTTTTTATCTACATTTATCACTAATTCGACTGTACTTCGTGCACAAGTTTAAGTGACAGTGACTTATTTTAAGGCTCTGTCCAGGACTTCCATTCTACGTCAATATAGGTACAAAATACGACTTTCATGCATTCTGTCTTGTTTTTAGCCACGCCTAAACCCTAAATTTTTAGTTTTGAAACAGACTTAGACCACTTTTCTTCAGACAACGCCTTTGTGTATCTAATCTATAGGATGCCCCAAAAATACCTTTACAGATAACCAGTAGATACGTCAGAATTGTGTATAAATATTTTTTGGGACCCCTGTATTACAGACAAGAGCGTGTGGGTTGCTCAGAAAGCAAATGAAGAAGGGAAAAATCGGGAGGTTCTGTTCCGCACAGAGCACTGTAACTGCGTGATTGGTAATTACTGGTCTCCGTACCAGGCAAGGGGTGGGGTGGAGATGGCTTTGCGTAACAAGGCGCGTCCGGCCGTCTAACCCTCACACCTCGTAAACTCATTAAGTCGTCGAGTTTACTCGTTTGTGGCGTGCAATGTCGCAACAAAACTGTGATCCTCTCTGGGGAAAAAAAAACGAAGAACAACTACAGATATATTTTTCTTTAAATATTTATTACGCTAAAGGATGTCGTGAATCGAGTCCTTTTTGATGAATTATTTGTCACTTAGAAAACCAAGAATTTTTCCTCGCATTTTATGATACTTTAAGTTTTAAATTCCGTGTTCCCAGAATCTCACCTTCTTTCTTATGCCATGAGAGAGATTAACCCAGTACAAGCCCTCACGTACTTTATCTTTAAGATCCGTTTTAATATTATTCTCAAATATATCCTATGCCACCAGATTGCTGTCTTCCGTGGAGGTGTTTCGACTAAAATTCTGTATGCATTTCTCGTTTTACTTATCGCGCTAAGTTCATCGTACTTCGATGTAATGTCCCTAACAGTATTTTATGATGTGAGCAAATAATGAAGTTCCTCATTATGTATTTTTCTCCGTTTTCGTGTCGTGATTATTTCACTAAGCGACAACCGAATGTTCGAGGTGGAGTGGTTAGCACTCCAGCTACACATTCGGTAGGTCCCGGATTCAAAAATCTCGACCCGGAGACCTTCTGTCCTGACTGGGGTTTCTGTAGATTTCCTCAGTCCCTCCAGGAAACTACCGGGATAGTACCTTAAAATAGGCCACGACATCTTCCTTCCATATTTTTCTTTTTCCAATTTATTATCCACTGCCATCCTCTCATTCGAAATTTTTTTTATGATTTTGACAAAGACTTAATACAAAACACGCCAACGCATTTAGGGCCGACATTTAACATTACTTTTTTATATTAAAATATGACTTAAATAAGGTCGTATTATTTACGTGAAGATCTTATAATATTAAGAACAGAGGTAGTTTTGATTTTGTTGGAAGTTTAAGAACAACCCTTTCATTCACTGCAGTCGTGAGTTTTCCGGACACTCTCACCCATCGCTGCTTCAGAGATGCCACTAAGAGGACAGACAAGACACAACCAACAGACTCACCCGTGATCTCTTCTGCACTGTTCCTGGTCCCTTCCCCTGGGGATGCGAAATGCAAGTGAGTTGCACGGACTCACAGCCAAGTGAGCAGGCAGTCAGATTGGAAATCCTCCCTCCCCACCTCCCGCCTCAATTAAATGGGATGGGTGCATATCCATCGTAGTAAACATTCTGGTGGGAACCTCGGGCAGCTGTCCTCATTTGTTTTGTTATTCTAATAGTCCTCCATTAAGCTGGGAACGAGTCCAATATTCAGAAGTTTACATTTTTATACGTTCTCTGCACTGAACCCAAAAAACGACTCGTGATTGTCTACGCGTCTCTCTGACCATTTTATATGCGGTTCGATTCCCGACTGGACCAGGAATGTGTGCAACCTTGTACGCTACAGATCTGCTCTGGGGCACTCACAGCCTTCTATACAATGAGAACCTGGATAAAGCGACCATAGCTTCAGGCTAACCTTTCACCTTCTTAATTTCGAGGTAAATAACAGATGGAGTCTTTTCTTTATTCCCATCATACTTTCTTATAACTTGTATCAATTATACATTATAATAACAAGAGTACTTTTAAATTTTACGTGATTCGGTGGGAATAAAAGTTAATTTCTGCTATTGGATGCCTCATATTTCGAGGATATATGAGTCGAATATGATCAATTTTAAGGATATTGTAATTCATACACTAACCTAAATGAATTTCATAATTCAAGATGGCCGAATACGATCTGAGCTGTCAGCAGCAAACCGGGATGCATAGTTCTAGGATGAAGACTGCTTTGTCCACGTACGTGTTCATAAAATTGCACTAATTCAACTCTCACGGGTCATGAGGCAAATCCAGCGGCTCGTTTGGCCAATTGTTGAACCAATCTGCGAGACGCTGGTGGCGTAGCGTAAATTTTTTGGTTGCAAACTCGCTCCGAGCAGAGTTCCCTGGTGTTCCCGCGCCAATTTCCTGCACATCCTCTGTTTCAACATTTGATCAACCATCCCACACGAGCAAAGGAAGAGGCAATAGCTAGATCACGTGACCGGAAACGAGGCATCATTGCTGTGTGTGTCGCGGGCGGTGGGTTTCAAGGGGACCGGGTGTGTTCACCTACACAAATCCCGGTTCTGTTGTTAACAGGAAGTAGATGGCGATGTCTCTTCTGGGTGTTCTAGTCAGAGTGGGATCAGGTTTATATTGCGTCCAAGTCCACAGGTCGAATCCGAGATCAGAGAATCAGCAAACGATTATATCTGACATGGTATTGATTAAAGACTAAAGTTTTTCCGTGAGGGAAAATTTATCACTCAGGATTGTATATCTGATCTCTCAGAGTACGGGTCAGATATTCAGATGTGTAAGAATGAAGGCTGTATTATTCCTTGCGTCTTTATTCATTCACGTGTTTATATTTATATAATGGCGGAATATTTGAGAACATTTTGCTATGCTGAGGACAATATATAGCTCTAAAAGGGAGGAAGTATCCGGAGGCTGGAGAGAAATACATGATGAGGAGCTTCACAATTTAGAGGGTGGTCAGATCGAAGACGATTTTAGCAAGACATACATCACGCATAGGTGATATAAGAAATATGTAAACAGTTGTTAGGGAAACTTGAAGATATGAGAACACTTTAAAGTCCTACGTGTAGACTGGATAATAATTTTAAAATGGCAGTAAAGTGGATTAATGTGGACATGCGGCGAGCTCTTGAGAACACAGTAATGGACGTTCCCTTTGTATAGAATGAGGGCCATTTGACTAGTCGAACACAGATAACTTGTTATCTGAACAGTATAATTTTTTTGGACTGGGAAGAGTTTGTGGAACCCGTTGTATCACGTGTGTATTTTCGTGACTGACAAGAACCAGGACAACTCCTGACTGCTTGTTTACATTCCTAACAGCTACCAGCAGTTATTAGAAGTTTTGTTGACTTTCAGAAAATTGGATGTTTGCCATGAAGACAAGAGTTTTATTTATCCTGGTTAGATGTGAATTTGATGGTGGTGGTGATTATCTGCATTTGGGCGCCGTTTAGACTTGATAGATGCCAACGTTTAGGAGTAACATACTGTCTCTATTTTTAGCCCTGAAGATGGCATCGACCGACGAGTCAACACGGCTTCAAAACCTTTTAGTCACTAATAAACTATTGCTATTTCTGTGTTCTAAAGCGCAGATCAGGTGTTTTCCCTTCCTTTGATGTTTGCTTGTTTATTCCTTTGGGAATTCAGCCATTGAAAGTAGTTCTATAAATAAAATTTATACAGGTAAATGGGACTTCAACTGGATAGGCGTCTCTTTACCATTTACCACGAGATATTATTGGATGAAGTTCACATACTAATTTCAATAGTTAACAGTAGTTGTGCTTATAGGAAGGATGACCAATACACGACGTTTAAAATAAGGAAGGAGAATGGGAAGAAGAATCGAGATATTTTATCGATGTACAACGCCGTCTGGCGTCCGTTGCAGAAAGTAGCGTACTGTGGGGTCACAGACAGCGACCTGATGGGGCTTCGAACTGTGGGTCCCTCGTCCTGTAAGCAAACAACAGACGAAAGTGAATTTGTTTGGATGTGATTAAGTGAAGGCAAGTCTATAAGCTGCGAGATCTGGTTTTGTGACTCTTTTGTACTTAAAAATGTATCAAGTGATGATCGCAGTGGACATGACTTTGAATTTTATGTGTGCATTTGTCCGTAGATGTGAATTAGCTCTATCGATTGTGCCCAACAGAGTAGGTTTTATCTGAAGACAGACATAGACTTCCATCTCCGAAACGTCGTGGTTTTTTAATAGATGTTATTTAGTCTTGGACGATGGATAATATCCAGAAAACAGTTTATTTCAACAACGCGCCATCATCACGAACTTTCAGAATTGAATATTGAAGTTCACAGTCCATATGTGAGGTGCTTGGAAGCGGATTATACAGGGTGTTATCAGTTTGTTTGCATATGTTGGCGCGCGCTTAGGCAAGGTAGCCGGACGCTTCTGCTGTCAAGTAGGGCAGCTCGCTTCAGGTCTACACTGTCTACGAAACTCGCTGTATAGAGAGGGTTACCTTGAAGTCTTCTACAGCATTTGTTATATCGTCCTCTGAATAGCCTTTCATAGCTTTGGTTGCCACTGGACCCATGTAATTGTTTACGACAGCGAACTCCATTAGGGACAGGAAAACGAACACAGAGCAAGATGACATCCACACGTCGATGGCTTTCACGTAGGATACTGGTGGAAGTAACTGCTGAGACTGTGTGTTTTGTGTTGCTGTAACATCACAAGGCGAGATTTACAGAAGATTAAATAATAAATCGCTTCAACAAATTATTTTCTATCACTGATTGTATCACAAATATTTCGTGTAATCAATTATAGATGGCAACATTGACAGTTTATGTAGCCACTGGTGTTTGGAAATGCGATCGAGTGGTGGACGTGACAGACAGATCGATCGTATAGTTCATGCGGCCACTGATACAAGGCAGCGAGAATAATTTATAACATCACCGTTAGATGGTAGCACGACGAGTTAATGTATTAAATGACAGATGGCAGCATAATATGTAATGACGTCACTACAGATGATAGTCAAACCACAACATGGTTTTGAGCATCCGTGACGTTGGTATTACCGATTGTTGGAAATCGCAAAGTACAATTTTGGAAGAGCTCCCAGTGGCATAACAGATATAATGAAAATCAATTTGTTTTCGAGTTATATTGGTGAATATGTAGTTTGTACCACCACCGATAAGTGGCAGCACGATATCAGCTGGAAGACGCTGCGGAGAGATATTAGAGAAGAGGTTCACAAATGAATTTCAAAGAAAGTGATTTTGTGGAGCAGCTGAATCAGACTTCATTTTGCTGTGAACACGGTAATGGGCCTATAGTCTCAAAAGATAGGTAGATATTTTGATTAGCTTAGCTGCTGTCAGTTTTTCAAGACCTACTAAGCTCCATGAACTTGTGTGTTGGAATTTGGGTTGATTTATGAATGAAATGACATAGTTCCTATTAGATACAATAGCACAGACTATAATGTGAGGTGTGTACCCACCAAGTGTTAGGAGTGAAGTAACGCCGAGGGTGACCCGAGCTGGAATAGCCTCGGGTTTGATCCAGAACGAGATCCAAGACATGACCACGATCAGAGCAGATGGGATGTAAGTGTGGAACAAGTGGTACCCTAGTCTTCGCCTCAAGTTGAAAACCACAGCTAGACAAGTAAAATTACCTGCAACATTTTCAAACCCAGGTGAACATGTACTCAGACCAGTCAATAATTTATTTTTTACTTAAGTAACAGTACACCCATCACAGGTGTAATGCAGGACTTAAGGAGATAAGAAGTTATTGAAATGACTAGTGTTACGTAAGTAACAGTACACCTATCACAGGTGTAATGCAGAACTTAAAGAGATAAGAAGTTATTGAAATGACTAGTGAGATATGGCATAACATCCAGACTAAATTTCATGAAATAAAATAGTGTAGTTGCGTCATATTGTGATTTATTAAATTAAAATTAAATTATTTGGTTATTCCGTCAAATCACAATGCATGAGTTTTCGTTGAGCCTTTCTCTAGTTATTAATTTCATACAGATCGTTGTTGGTTGTGAAGAGATTGGGTTAGGTTGGGTTGATTTAGGTTAGGTTAATTTACAAATGGGAATGCTTTCCGGTGTTGGAATTATCGTTCTTCCTGCATGTGTTATGCTTTTTCTTATTTTGTAATACGTAGTTGTGGTGCTGTAAAGTGTACATCAACTTATAACAGTCATGATTTTAGGTCTGCTGTTAATGCATGACGTCATCTCCTGGGCCACACGCGTCACGGGTATTTACCTAATTATCGGGGAGAGTCACCCATCTAGTATGCATCCTATCTTCCTTCGTAGCGTTATAGACATATATCCTGTTGGAAAATTTCGCCGTGGAACTCTGGTTGTGAGGGAAAGCTGTTTATAGCCGCGGAATATCTTCTGACATTTCTTTAGAGTATTATTTTTTTTAAGATGATAGAGTTGCGTCATATTGTGAAAATATATATTTAATTAATTAATCTTGTCCGTCTAATCACAATTTAAAATTTAAAATTAAGATAGTTAAAATACCATGTGATGCTCCTTATCGAAACATTCGATTTTACATTTGGAACATCACTTTCTCACTACATGTTTCGGTTCTTAGATGAACCATCTTCAGGTGTGTAAAAATTAAAATTATATAAATTTAAAACTTAATCATAATTTCTTATATGCAAGTTTTTTTGTAGTTGTTTATCAGTTATTAGTGATGTTCACTTCCAGATTCCATTTTAATATATTTGAAGTTGTTCTATATATGTGCGTCGTGTTTAAATAAACTTTTAGGTTGGTGAATGTTTTTGTTGGTGTTTTTTTTATATCAGTCTGAGATGAGAGGTGTAGATGAGTTCCGACTGTCTGGAAGTACTATCGTATTAACTATCTTAATTTTAAAATTTTAAATTGTGATTAGACGGACAAGATTATTTAATTAAATTTTTTTTTTGTTCTCACAAACCAATGTTATAAAGATTTAGAAGATTGTCATGTAGGAAATTCTAGTTTATTTTGATTTTTTAAAATAATTACGACAATTTTTTTATATAATTTTCTGACAAAGATACCTTCCTCGATTTTTACGTCTTTTAATTGTTTGAAACTTCCGTATTAAGTGACGAAGACCTTAGATGTTTTTGTCGAAAGCCATCACAGGATATTTTACAGGGTCCTCTTTTTATGCAGCGGAGGAGAATCCCATATTAATACGTCTGTCAGATTTTTTTCAGGAACACAGATACATGCAAATTCTAGGGCTTGGTTCTTAGTATTATTTGATCGTGGAAATGTTCTCATCTGTTCCGGATATAGAGGTAAACGGAATTATGACGAGGTAGGAAGTTTTACTTAGGCTTAATAGCCGGTAACAGACCTGTAGAATATTCAATTGTGCAGTCTGCAGTGTAATTGTTAGAAATGTCGAGTTGCGGAAGTTCGATGTCTGGGTTCACAACTAGGGGATCAGTGACGTTCCATATGAATACCAAGTCGTCCACTGTATGTGACACTGTAACAAAACGCTGTATTAGGGGATTCGATTACTCGAACTATAAACTCGATAAATATACTCAGAATCGATCGATGTAATAGAATTATTATTACGTCTGTAATTTATAAACATGTGCTCCCGTTGAAAAGAATATCATTAGTTGGATTGGAGACTTAATGAATTAAACTATTGGGGAAATTGACTTTACTGTATAAAATTAAATCGTGACTTTTCGACATCGGAGGAACATTCTGTTAACGTACAGAATTTTTATTTTATTTATTTATTTAGTGTTCTGTCTGACGACAGGTCCATATGAACAGGATCCTTCCATCCTTTTCTCGGACTGGGACCTGTTCATATACGTTCTTGGCAGATGATCCAGAAGCGGTTTGCCATTGCCTTCTTCTGTGTGAGTGTGAATGGAGTAATTGTTGGGATGCCAATGAGGAAAACTCCGTGTTGCCTAGGCCACGGCCTTGCCCAACACAAGTTAGAAATTCAGTGTCAGTCTGAGAACAAAAAAGAAACGAATTCCGTCTCCTGTGGTCAGATGCTGTCTGCTCTGATGATACGTTCAGTCCTCGATACTTACTTCGACATATATAAAAGAGTCTTGTCATGGTACAGCCACAGGTAATGGTTGGGGATGCTCATCTCGTGGAACGTCACTTTCTTGGCGTTCTTGAAGAAGCAGTCGGGCCTCCAGATGTTATGAAGCCAGTCCACATCCAAAATTCGATAGTCCTCGCTCATGTACTCTGGCAGTCTGAGTCTCGCATCTCGCCAACTCTGCGCCAGGAAGATGTCAGCGACGTACGTCTGTGACATGTTCGAACACAGTCTCCAGTGGCAGGCGAAGTTGTCCACTTTTCGAAATACAGGGGTTCCTTGAATTTGTTTATCTAGAGTTTATTTAAAAACCCTTTTTCAGTAGGTCAGACTATATAGCGTTGAGGACCGATATTTCGTTTTAAATTTTAATGTGTATTGAATGTGATGTGATCGCCGAACAGATTCAGTTGTGACGTAACAAATGACATTTATGTACAGTTTGTAGGAAGAGAGATTATGGCAGTCTGATTAAGTCGTGTTTAGTGATTAAGTGACATTAACCATATGATGGTTTGTAAATATGCATTTCCGTCGGATGTGGGATTTCAGTTCACGCAACGAATGAACGAGTCACACGCGAGAGTGAATTCACAATCACGCCACTGAAATGCTCGTTTTTCTTCTCAGTTAGGTTAGGTTATTTTAGGTTAGATTAGATTAGGTTAGGTTATTTTAGGTTAGATTAGATTAGGTTAGGTTATTTTAGGTTAGATTAGGTTAGGTTAGATTAGATTAGGTTAGGATAGGTTAGATTAGGTTAGGTTAGGTTATTTTAGGTTAGATTAGGTTAGGTTAGATTAGATTAGGTTAGGTTAGGTGTATTTGGACAATGCTAGAAAATTACGATTTGCCACAGCGTGAAGGACGTCTTAAAAATCATCCACGAGCAGCATGGGACAACCCCAAATTTCTTCAATGTGCAACAATTATTGAAAGGCCCTGTTTTTTTTAAATAGTGAATCAGTCAACAAGAATGGACGTGTGTTCTTTGTGGTGCACTTAAATCACAAACGTGTTTCTTACCGGAAGCTATAGATATAGATATTCAAAACACGTTGTAGCGCAAATGTTTAACCCTTTAAAAGCCCAGTGGTAACTATGTGTACCACCTGCTTTAAAAATCAATAGCTCTGAGTTTTGTATTTGTGTTTCGTATGTTTTTCTCTGTAAACAGAGATTATTTCCTTGAACAGCATTAACCACTTGATCTTTGTAATGGTTAAGTGATGTGTTTACTTTGCGGTACGGACTGAATTCTTAAATATTATTTATACGAGCTTTGGCTTCAATCGTTTAAAGCTGAATTACAAGTTCGGTTTATGCCGAGCTACAAACGGTGCTCAGATTTAAATATAAGTGCGTTGTTACAATTTTTTGACAGTCTGTCATATATTTTATTCATACTTAATGAGCAATCAAGACACACTAAAGACTTTTAGCTTTGACTATACGATAGGTTGCATTGAAATGATTAAATTAAGTTCCATGTCACTTACCATCGACTCCTCATCTATAGAATCAATTGACAGTACAGTGACGTGGAAATACACTATTGTGGGTTTTCCTTGGAATTTCGGGGCTCTGTTCTTATCGTAGTGTTTTACGTTTGTGGGCAGAATATCACGAAGAGACAAGCTCGTTTCAGCTGGCATTGTAGCTTCTTGATTCACGTATCTGGCCCCTCTGAATAAAGAAATATAAATTATCTGTAGGAACTGGGACACTCAGCAGTAACATTATTTACATTTCGATTAAGTCGTGGACTTTCAAGATTGTATAAATTCTGACATTTACGAGTGAATGGAACATTAACGTAGATGGGTTTATTATTTATTTAAGTGTTCTGTCTGACGACAGGTCCATATGAACAGGATCCTTCCATCCTTTTCTCGGACTGGGACCTGTTCATATACGTTCTTGGCAGATGATCCAGAAGTGGTTTGCCATTGCCTTCTTCTGTGTGTGAATGGAGTAATTGTTGGGATGCCACGGAGGAAAACTCCGTGATGCCTAGACCACGGCCTTGCCCAACACAAGTTATAAATTCGGGCACCGCCGGGAATCGAACCCGAGACCCCACCCCAGGATTACAAGGCCAGCGTTCTAACCGCTAGATCGACCGAATGAAACTTATGGGTTATATAGGTAGATCTAAGGCTCGTTATTTGTGTAAATTTCAATTGTGAGCTGTCATTTCACTTGGGTAATTTCTGTAAAATTTATTAAAGTATACAAAAAAAGATCTGGTTGTCACCGTATACTTCAATATATTCCATGCTGTTCTATGACGTGGATAATACATGTACCTTCTAGAATTCACCAGTGAATTCTTGTAGGTAAGCCATCTCTCATTTTGTCTTACATCGACCGAATGAAACTTAACGAAGACAATTTACGTCTCGCAGAAATGCTGATACTTACTGCGTGCATCTTAACAGCCATGTTGATGTTGCTATGGCCACGGCGTAGCCCAGTAATGGTGTGCGCTTAAACATCTTGGCGCCTGCGCAAAGCAGAACATAAGATTAATTACGAAATCACAAAAATGATTTCGCTATGCGGGAATATCCTTGAAGATTATGATAAATATTCATCAGAATTCGGTAGATTATTGCCGCCATCATCGAATCTCGCAACCATCCTAGTAGTTCGACGCATTTCAGTTGTTCCAATATAAATTTTAAAATTATTATTATTATAAATCGTCTATCTTTGGAGGTCACTTCATATACGAAAAATATGTTCCCTGAATATTGCAATGAAAATAAAATTATATTCACCTCGAATACAGGACAAGAATGGAGCACCACTGACGAACATCCACTTCGCTCTCCAGAATGTCCCCGTTGCAAATAGGATACTTACCTGGCGCTAATACGATAACGCGCTAATTGGCTCAGAACTTCGGAGCCCTTACGACGTTCAGCAGTTGTTTAACGCGCAGGCTATCAAAATCATTACAGTTCATATCATGCATGGAAATGGGTTTTTGAACGACGCAGTAGCAACTGTGGAAACTATTTGCCGTCGAAGGACGTGATAGGATGATTGTCTTCGTTGGGTGTGATACTTGGCCCATCCTAAGAGACGGAGTAGTCCTGGAGACGTTATGCGCAAATATTTTTGTCATGGAGAATTGCTGGAGAAATCCTGGAAGGGTATTTGGAAGTCCTTAAGCGGTGGTGGGTTTGATCCTATGCTGGGATGCGTTTTGCGTTAGGTTAGATAAGGTTAGGTTAGGTAAGGTTAGGTCAGGTTAGGTTAGGTAAGGTTCTATCGTGTTCATGGGGTGGTCATGGGGATATCCGTGAGTAGTGCTGGAGAATCCTGGAGAATTCCAGGAACATTCCTGGAGAAATCCTGGAAAAATACTAGAAAAGTAACGGAGTAGTCCTGGAGACGTTATGCGCAAATATTTTTGTCATGGAGAATTGCTGGAGAAATCCTGGAGAAGTACTGGAGATATCCTGGAGAAGTCCTGGGAAAATCCTGGAAGGTTATTTGGAAGTGCTTAAGCGGTGGTGGGTTTGATCCTGTGCGGGTCGGTTATTTTGGATTCGTTTAAGTTTGATTTGGATTAGTTATATTGGATTAGGTTGCGTTTTGAGTTAGGTTGGGTTAGATTAGGTTTGGTTACGTTAGGTTAACTTATTTTTGGTTAGGTTAACTTTTGGTACGTTAGTTTGTTAGATTATATAACGTTTTGAAAATATTCGTCACTTGTAGACAGTTATGGTTACATTTCTTGTACCATAAGAGTACGTCCCGCGTAGTCATTCTTTTAAAATCTTGGTGGTGTTTTTAAAGAATTATGGTATCCTGTCTTCACGGTTTTAAAGGTCACGCCTTGTCATGCTTTGTCACTAATATATATAACATATGTATAATTGAAGATAAATGAGTGGATATCAGCGGCGGTATTTATGAATCGAGTGATATGTCAGAAAGCGATGGTCTGTGGTGTGTGGAAGGACTGAAAAAGGTCCGTAGAATTGTGAAGAACATGGAATAACTAATAGTCTATGCAGTTTTAATTTTCTAGTGATGTGTAGTGAAATCGACTTCCGTGTGTTCCATACCATATTTTATTTGGAGTGAGTTGTACTCGGCCTGCTTCCGTCCCTAACTTCCTGATAAATGACTCACTTTGAGGTTCCAGTTCACAACGTTTAGCAGCAAAAAACGCTGGAATGTAGTTTAAGTTTGTTATAATTACCTGTGCTCTATTATCTTTCCCTGCTCCCTCCCACTATTTAAATTTGTTATCTGTGCCAGTTATGATATCTCGAACTGTGTCGTAGATAACTTCATTTTGTACTCCATGTTTTTGTGCAGTGTTGATGGTTTGACGTTTTTAAGTACATATATTTTAAATGCGAAGGAAGGAAGCGATATGAATGCCTTCCTTACATGTGTACATACACGTGAATACGACATTTTGTATTTGGTCAAATTGTATTGAATGTCATGGAAGAAGGCACAGTTACTAAAGTACTTAATGATTTCCTGGCAGTCTCTGAGGGTGAGATCACGCTGAAGAAAGGAGACATCGTTCAGGTTAGTTCAAAATCTTCTGTCACTGTATGCTATCGTAAAGTGTAGAGATTATAACGTCCAAAACTGTAATTTTACGCATTGTTTTGTGTGTGTAAAATTTGGTTTCTCATCCTCACCGAAGAACATGATTGAGCTTGTTTGAGAACAGAGTGCAGATGAGAATAGTCATGTTTTGTTTGTGGTGGGGACAGAATAATCAAATATTATTTGAATGAGCTGTAGCTTAAGAGAAAAATTTATTCTGATGTACACCAACTCCTCTGCTAATGTATCTGAATTTATCTTTATTTGTGATTTATGTCCAGTCTGGCATACATTAGTTGCAATTTTATGCATTTTATTTTATTTTGCAGGTGTTAGAGAAAGTAGACAGACATTGGTGGTATGGTTGCTGTGGCGGAAAATATGGAAAATTTCCTGGCAGTCATGTTTTACCATTGGAACTACCATCCCTTGAAGAAAGTCATGAATTATTTGCAGCTGTTGCTGACTTCCCACGTCAACAAGACGGTGATCTTTCATTTTCAAAAGGTGGTGTTTATTACTGAACATAATTCATATTTTCCAAGTATAACACAGTGTTGGTTAGATTTAATTAAGATTTAGGGAATGAAGGAATAATTAAAAAACAGCAAATCACATGCTTTCATCTCAAACAAACTCTAAGGGTGACAGTCCTTTTTCAGATGATAGATGCTAATATTTTCTTAGCTAATCAGGAAATTCCCTGCTTTTTCTGGAACTTGTGGATCCATTATCATGTTCACAACAGTTAACCCAAGTCTCCTTGCAACATTCTGTAACATGCTAGTTTTGAGGTGTTCTTTATACTTTGATATAAGTGAAAAGAACAACTTGTTGGCCCATCCTCCATGTGTCTGTTGCATCTCTCAGCTGCCCACCTCCCCCACTGAGGTTAACCCAGGAACTAGGCAATCCCAGGGCTTCCTTAAGGGGCAAAGTGATCTCCTCTAGGGCTCGTACCTTAGCATTTACACTGGCAGGGCTCTTCCCCAGAACTTTACTTTCCTCTTTGCATCTTTACAGACAAGGATTGTTTTCTGTAGGTTGGCTTCCCTGAGCCTTGCTTAATTTTAGTACTGGATGACAAACCCTTGTCAGCCATCCACAACACCTTTCTAAATGCATCCATAACTACCATCCATTTCTGAAAGCAAAGAAATGTGGCCAACTGTCCATGCCCCATATAATATTCCAAACCTGTAATCCAAGACTATTTCTGCCTGTGCAATCGTTGAGTGGACAACAATCAGCGAAGGGCATCTTCAGTTGAAAGAAAGTGCAAATTTAATTAGAATTTTTGTTTAGGAAATTATTCTTCTTCTTCTTTTGTCATGTGTTGGAATTGGACTTGTATATATAAATATTTTTTTATCTAATAATATAGTTCTGTGAGCTTTAAAATATTTTATTTCAGGTGGGCTGATAGTTGGTATATCTCAAGTAAATGAAAATTGGTGGTATGGAAGAATAGGTGAGAGAGCTGGAATATTTCCGACTACGTATACTTGGATGGTGGATTCCAAGTTACTGAAGGTAAGCTGTGTAATTTTAGAATTACAGACAGAAGGGTTGATCTTTGTAATTCATTGGTTGCACACAGTGCTAGTCGTAGTAGAGGTTGATACAGGGGGTGTGTAGAATTGCAGAGGGGCTGGAAGAGTCCTGAGAAAGCTTGTCCTAGTTCAACGTTAGCCACCATAGATTCCACTTGGAATGGCCGAGTCTTAAAACTTAAGAGACTGAAGAGTGAGGCAGGAAACTTACTTAATTTTGTTTTCCCCTCCCTTGAATAAATGACAGTAATTCTTACATCCGGCTTTACGTCTAGTTGCTTATTTGTTTAGTTACTGCTTAAAGTATGTGAACTTATTTCTTTGCAGACTAAGTCAAAATGCCGAGTCATGAACGTGAAGGCACGTGTAAAAATGAATATGAAAGCGCAGCTGGATGAAGAAATGGATTTACATGAAGGTGATATTGTAACAGTGACTGAAATTTTGGATAAGAACTGGTTCAGGTGTGTTACAGTTGACTGAAATTTGAATTGCATTGTATATCAGCAGTTTGATTATTATGTGTTGTTTGCACTGTGCGCACAAAATGAATTCATATAGTACTGAGCTTGTTTATCTGTCAGTCCATCCATTTATTTCAATATTGCACACTGATTGAATCATAGAAGATGAAAGCTGTTTTCTATGTGTTTTGTTCGTAGCAGAAATTATCAGAGTGTTATAGATTTGTTCAATTGTAACATCTAGCTCATATTTAAAAAACTATTTAAAAGATACAATTGCACTTCTGAATTTTGAAACATTGTTTACATAGCCAGTATGTTGTTTGCTCTGTAGGGAATGATCAATTTTCTTGTAATACTGCTATTCATTATACTAAGTTTTTACTCTAGTTAGATATAAGTTTATTATTATTATTAAGTGTTCTGTCTTACGACAGGTCCATTGCTGTGCCCAAAAAGAGCTCTCCAGTTGTCCCTATTCTCGGCTTCTCGCTTTAATTCCTGGAACGTCATCTTCTTTCCTTGTTTAAGGTCGTCGGTTAGCTGTATCAATCTTCTTCCTAGTCCTCTCTTTCCTTCAACCTGGCCTTCGATGATATCACTCATTAATCCATACCAATTAATATTTATTCTTAAGGTATTTTGTGAAATTAAAAGGAACTGAACATATCTAGAAGTAATTTGAAATTAAGTACCTCGTTGGTAAAATATTTATATAAACTGATCTATGACGTATCTTGTAGTTTTGTTATTTATTATTATTTAGTTTGTAATGAACTGGTTCAGCAATTTGTAGCAAAGTACTGCCCTTCAAGCAAAGTGTAAGAGCACTCGGGGGCTGAATTACACAGTAGATTGAAGATGGTTGTCATGTTTTGGCCATTAATCACCAACCCATCTTTCAGTTACTGATTTTTTAATTGTTTAAAAGTCTTTCTGTATCATGATGCTATGGAAAGGGATGATTTTACGTATTTATTTCAGGGGCACTTGCGGAACACAGGAGGGAATATTTCCGGCGGCCTATGTTGAAATTCTTGAAGATAATAATGTAATGGAAGGCAGTGGAATATCACACGGAAGTAAATTCAAGTTACCAGCACAACGTCCAGAGCCTTCTGATAGTGATACGAGACAGAAATCGAATGATACGATTGACTCTTTGTTAGCTATATCACCTGATGTACAGTTTCCGTCATCTGCGCGAATTTCAGATGCGCAGACTGTAATCGAGTCTGATATTTTTGATGATGATTACTTTAAAGTGAATATGCCATCCTTGTATCGCAGTGAGTCTTATGGTAAAACAAACAAAGTTGAAACATGTAATGCTCAGCCTTTAGTGGAGATAGACGTTGTTCCGTACGGCATCACGTTATATCCTTTTTTTGCTCAGTTTGATAATGAACTAGGTTTTCATGAAAATGAAATTGTTACACTTTGTCGCCATGTTGACAAAGACTGGATTGAAGGGAAAATTGATGGGAAGAAAGGCATTTTCCCCAAAAGTTACGTCAATATTCTTGTGGACTGCGAGGGTTATGCAACTGCTTCTTTAGATGTCAGTTCTTCCGGTGGACCACAGCATTTTTCACGTGATGACACGAATACCGAGCTGCCTGAACTGACACCAGATTTATTTGCAAAGATATTATATAATTTTGATGCACAGATGAATGGTGATTTGACAGTACAGAAGGATGAAGTTGTGTGTATCGTAAGCAAAGCAAATGAAGATTGGTGTGTAGTAAGAAATCAGTCTGGGAAAATTGGCCTTTGTCCACAGAATTACTTGACTCCTTATTTAACATCAAATGAGTTAAAAAATGAGTTAGTCCGAGGAACCTCACTTGCGTCAGATAATTTGCTTGATTTCCACAGTTCAACTGAAGCAAACTCTAACAATTTTGTAGATACTCAATGTAGTGATGGTAGAAGAAAATATGAGAGTCATGATTTTATAAAACCAGGAAGTTCCTCTTCACACAAAGAGAGCAGTATTGAAGACCTCATCACGAAAAATCTTGAGACTTACCATATCTCATCGCAGACTTCAAGTTCTTGTTTTAATAATAGACATTCATTGGACCTTTCTGAGAACAGGGATGCAGACTTTGTATCAGGAAATGCTGATAAGTACATGCCCAGAGACAGATTATCAGTTTCTTCTAAATTACAGCAAGAATCCGCTAGTACATTTGAGAAACTTACAGAAAATTCTGAACATGTGGAAAAACACCACCCATCACCTCCAGTATTACCGCCACTTCGGCATCTAGAAGACGATAAATGCAAGCCCTCAGAAGAATCAAGCAGTGAGGAAACATCTTGGGAGGGAGGTAAATCGAGTTTTTATTTTCATTACAAATAATATCATTCAGTTAAAGTGCACAAATGTTTCAATGAAAGTTAGCTAGAGAATTTTTTTGTCCTTGTGATTCTTTATTTAATTAGAAATTCTACTTTATGTATTTTTTTAAGATGCCCAGATAATGTAGTTTTACAAATACTGTATTATTACGAAAACTTCAGAACTTGTGATAAGTACTTCTGCCTTTTGTTTTACACACACACACACACCCGCATTTGTTATATATTTTAAAAACATAACCTGGATATATATTTTTATTATTACTTTGTCTTTAAAAATGGTAATCATTAGAACTGAGTCGGACAGTTTCAGCATTTGTGAATGTTATGTGCTCTGTT